TGTTTTGGAATGCCATTGTGGTTAACTTGCTATGTTCGAATTTTATAGCCCTTTTTAGAACTTCCTCTGGATTCAGAGTTTCGAATGTCAACGTGTCCTGCAATGTCATGTTTTTCATTTTCGAGATGAACAAGTCTCGCACTATTTCATTTTCCAATGTCCCCAGTTCTGAACGAGCAGCTTGGGCAGTTAGTGCTGCGTGGAATGATTCTAGAGATTCTCCAGATTCTTGCATTCTCGTAAATAACTTGTATCTTTCGTATGTTACACATTTTACCTTTTGAAATGAGACTTCTGCCAACTCTGTTATTTCTCTGAACGTCATTTTCGATATTTCTGCGTGCGGATTCTTTTGTAGGAATCTCTTCTTTCCCTCTGTGCCCAAAGATAGAAATAATCGTGACACCAGTTTCTTTTGTACTTCGTTGTAGAAAACATTGTGTCCGACTCGTGGGCCTCTTGTTTTTCTTTCTTCGTTCTCCAATACTACTCTGTCGCTTGCTAATTTATCTCTAAGAATCCTAGCGTTTCTCGCATCTTAGTTCTCCCCTTCCCTGGGCGTTTCCGGGCGTGGTGGTGGTTCCTCTAATATGTCTTTTGGTTCTTCCAAAATAATCTCTGGGTTCACATTTTCTTTGACCGTAACCGCCATGAGAAATTGTTCGAACCAAATTTTGAATTGCCACGGAGGGTCTAGATTCGCTGATGCCCAAAATACCGGAATTCCCATATCCGTTCTGTTGTCTTGAGCTGCGAATCCTGCTGGCTGCGCCATGTGATATGCGTTGCGATATCAATTGAAAACAAGTTGTAATTCAATACTGTATTCTGAATATTGAGTTTAGATTTTCTCTTTTCTTGGTTTCTTATGTACTGAGAGATAGATCATTGGTAAGTACTCTGATCTCTCGCTTAACCTCAGTGCCAACACTTACGTATGACCTTGAGAATACCATAAAATAATGATTGAGCACCAGAGGTTAGATGTACATACGTATAATAAATACTGCTACTGCAGTAGCGGTATGACATCCGAACATTTTTTGAAAAATTCCTGGAATTGTAAATTGAAAATTTTTCCATGTTCTGAACTATTTTAAATTAGTTCAGAAAATGGCGAAATTGTCATTTTACAAAGCCATGAACTATTCAAAAGTTGTTCGGAGTCAAACGTCAATCTACATTTAAACTCATGGGGTCAATATTTTCATTGGCCTTTCAAAAACTTTAATTATGTCCATTTTGATGATTGTTTCTAAGGCTGCTGAAAACGTAACGCAAATTATTTACTCGTGGTGATTTAAATACAACGGTATCATCCCTCTATCAAAATACAACGGGATGAGGCAAATGACATTAGGCAAACTAAATTGAGGCAAGCCAGTTGATCATTTTAATTCCCTGTAGTACTCGATTTTAACTTTTAAAAATGATATTAACAGTCAGATTTATAGCTGAACAAAATCTCTGGGTCGTAAAATAATTGAGATCAGTTAAAGAGCAGTGCAAATTTTCAGAGTTTTGCGCTGATATACCAGCAGGTTTTTTGTAGTGACTCGACTTTCGAAGAAAAGATGGCATAGTTGTGCTCGGAGTTTTCTACTTCAAACGAGTTCAGATTTTAGCTAGCCAGTTTTAAATGGAGTTTTTAAAAAAATCTGAAACTTCTTGATGTTCTGAGCTTACAAATTAAATATTTCACCAGTGATTGTTTTTTCTATATTAAGGTGGTTTGAATGATGTCAACTTGGGTAATTTGAGACAATTCACAGTTTGGGTTAATTTTGTTCAATTACCGCGTGAGCAGAATTAAATTGGCTCAAAAATTGTTTCAGAAATCGCACCAATTTGATTTGAGGCAAGATATTTGGGACTAGCAAAACCATACTAGATGTAAATCACATCAATTTGTACTTTATGGGGATTTTGTTCGAAAAAAGTCTGAAAATCTTTTTCAAACTTTGTCATTTTCTAATTTGCTTAGGAAGATGACTAATTACAAGCACCTTTTGAGCTGTCGGAACATATACGGCAGTGCTTTGATACAGGTAACCTTACAACTTAAATTTTTGAATAGGCAGCCGCATTAATTAATAAACAACACTGCTCGTATATCAAGGCAAAGCCCTGAATGTGCCGACTGTCCCATAATTCACATCGAAGTTTTTGGGAAAAGAAAATATTGCAAACTTATCAATTTCGGACAATATCAAAGTGTAAGTTTTTGAGTCGTACGAAATTAATGCAACCAATTAGCTAGCCTCAATTCAATTGGGAACGATTTTCTTAATAATTCGCGTTACGTTCTCAGCATTATGAATTAACTCTTCAAAGCGCGCATAATTTAGTGCAGTTTATAGAAAATTTGGCAATTTTCAAACCCCCAGAACTTTACAAAAAATAATTGGAGATGAGATATCTTTTTGTTCCGACTTTCGATACAAAAGTAACGGAATATTTGTGCTCGGGGTGGGTTTTTTTTTTCTTCAGACAAATTTCGACTTTTTAACTAGCCTTTTTTGACGGAATTTTTTGATATCATTGAAAAGGTATTGTTGTCCTGAGCTTAAATTTGAAAAGATATTTCACCTGTGATCATTTTTTCTAAAGTTATGAAGGTTTGAAGATTGCCATTTTAGCCATTTTGACCAATTTGGGACAATCAACGATATAATTCGCGCTATTAACGCGTAAGCGGAGATTTAATCCGTCATATAAATCGTTCCAAATTGGTTGAACGAAGCTTATTTGGCATAATTGACTTGTTACAAGGAACGAAATCTATCTTTTTGTATTTTATATGGCGTGTGGGGGATGATTTTCATAAAAAATTTCAAAAAAAAATTTTAGCTTGATTTTATTTCATTTAATTTTTAAATGTTTTTACTGCTGCTCCATAAACCATAAAAGGCAGTCGGAACATTCAGGGCTTCGCCTTGATACGAGCAGTCTTGTTACATTTGAACTCAGGAAGGACTTGACTGAATACAAAAAATCACACCGAGCATGAATATTCCGTTTTCTTCGAAACTCGGAACAAAAATATCATCTAGATATACGCCAAAATGCCAAAAGCTATAGAATATTCTTGTACTTCCGATTTTCAAATTGACTGATTTTCTCGCTTTAAAGTCAAAATATGCATCCCAAATTATGATTGACTGACACAATTTTTGGAATTTTGGTCTTTCTGACACAAAGGATTCGTCTCATATCACACAGCTACTTCTGATGTTTTTCAATAGAAGGATACAACACAAAATGTTCTTCGGCAATCACAACAATTAAAGTTATGGTTTGTTTTTGTAGCCTCTAGTACATTTGTAAGTAATACTATCTTTGGGGCCTTTCTCAATGCATAACTTGATTTTTCTCAGAAGAAATTGATTATTTTTTTTTACCGATTATACCATAATCATATTCCAGTATACTATTTATGTAAGCTCAAATAGTTTATTTTCCAAATATTTTTTTTGCCATAAAACAGTAAAAAACACAATTCCTATATGTACAACGGGAAGCGCCAACAATTTCAACTGAAATGAAAACTGCGCTTTTTCATTAAAAGTTTGTTTATGGAGATTAGTCGAAAAAAGTTTCTGTCAAACTGCGCAAAAATCATCATGAATTGAATACTTCTTTGGTCGTTAAGTTTGTGATATTTGGTGATCTGCTTAAAAGATTCAGTTTTCCAGCAATTGAAAGAAAACGGTTGTGAAATTTGTGCAACAATGAGAAATGAAATTTCAAAAATTGACAAGTCCCACACAAAAATATGTTTTTGGTGCTTAAACATTTTATCTTATGGTTCTTATCAATCGGGCAATCGCCTTCAAACAATTCAAATAAATTATTCAATTTTTTCACATTCAATTTTTTGACAATCAATTTTTTTTACAATTGTTTGATTCTTTCCAGTTACTTCTTTCCAAGTTTTGTAAAGTCGAATTTGGAGTTGCACTAGATGTTCCGGCATTGATGAATGAAGAAAAGAATTCGAAAAAAAATTAGTGAAAAAAAGAGTTCGAGTTTTCCCTTTTCCTGTAAAACGAAATGGAATAATCATAATGAGAGGATCTAATAGCTAAGCAAATGAGAGTTTTTTCATTTCTGGACAGACAGTTTTTTAAATTTGTTTTGGAATCTGAATCTCAAAGAATCAGCATTTTGATACAATACCACGTCTGACTTCTTGGAATTTTTTGGGTTTCATTATGTTAGGCGGAAAAAAGCACTAGCTTTTTAAAAGTTCCTGCCCGTTATCATAGTTCTCTTATAACAAAAAAAGCCAATTTTTTTAACAAGCAGCACAGAATGTTCCGATAGTCTTAAAAAACACAAAAATTTTTTTTTTCAAATTAGTGTCATTTTTTCTGCGTGTTGTGATAAAAGGATCTGAACGAAAAATCAGAGCTTAGGAGTTTTCGACAGTCATAGTAATATAATCAATAGGGAAAACATTCTTTCAATTTTGTTTGCAGTGTTTCAAAAATTTCATCAAAATTTTAACCGGTTTTCTCAACACTCAGAAAAATTTAGGAACTTTTTTAATGTTGTTCAAATCACAACCAAAGGGCTTTAATGTGATATATCACTCAACTCACTCCAATGATGATTACTTGTGGTAGCTGAATTTTGGGCGGAAAACAAAAAAAAGAAGAAAATTAAAACTAAAACACACCTGAATACAAAGTTTCTCCCTATTTTTAAGCAGTCCGATTGAAAACAAATAAAAAAAATAAAAAAATCCAATTTTTCGTTTCTTTTTCCATTTTTGAACAAAGCTTCCTGATGTTATTTGATTTCGGAGTGTTATTTGGACGATTAACTATATTATAATGATTTAAGTGAATTTGTCTATCAATGAGAACTTAAGTTTCAATGAGTTTGATAGACAATCAATTTCATGATTACGTCAAGATCCTAAACTCTTAATCGTAATAGTAGTTTTTCTTTTTATTGGCTGATCCAAAAGTGTTCAGCTTAAAATGTGCACTTACTCGTCATTTCTGGGCTCCACGCATATTTGCTGTCCTTTCTGAATATCATTGGTCCAGATTGTGGGCGTAATCTCACCACAATGGCTCCAAGGCACCTCTCCGAAGGTCAAAGAGGCGAACATGTAATACACGCTGTAGCACATGATAACATTGTAGTAGAGAATCACTATCGCTGTCATGGTGCAAGCGCACACACCGATTCCAGAGAAAAGAGGACATACGGACCAGGCTGTGATTGGACCCTCACTGCTGAACTGACCCCAAGCTAGTTCCAGGAACATCAAAGGCATACCACAACAAGCCAGCGCAATGAAATAAGGAATCAGAAAAGCGCCGCCTCCGTTTTTGTAGCAGACATAAGGGAATCGAAATACATTCCCAACTCCAATTGAAAATCCGACAACTGCGAGGAAGAACTCGATTCTGTTCCCCCATTGACCGCGCTCTATTCGTTCTTCGGTCGTGTCAGGCTCATTCGTATTTGGTTGTTTCTCGATAGTCGTGTACGAACTTTTATCACTGGTTTTATTATTTTCGTTGTTGTCAGTCGTGCTTGTTATATCAAGCATAGCTGAGTTGCTGTGTAAAATTGCAATTCCGTTGTTGCAGTCTAAATTTTGGCCTTTGGGTTGCGGGTTTTCTGCATTGTTTGGGTTGTCCCCCATAGTTTGTTAATTGCCCACAGATATCTTGCCTGAGGTTTTTGTTTTCTTTCTTTGTCTTCGTTTGATCCGCAGGTATTTTAAATATAAGTCTTCGCGTGATCGGCGTGTTATTTAAACGAAGTTTTCATAGATCAGTGGTGAAATTAGTTGGGACAATAGCGGTTGCAACTCAATTTGACTGCTGAAAACATTAAAGGGTAAACGCTATCAAATTTGCAGTAATTGCCAGCCTAGGGGCATTAGGAAAAGTGTCTCTCCTTGTTTATATTGACTTCCATAATTGATTATCGCTTTTCACGATCAGTTTGGCAATCAAATCAGTCATGAAATTAAACGTTCGTCGTGGCGTAGCTTCAAGCTGACATTGATAAATGAAACTTTGAATTAATTGATGCATGCTAAATTTAAAAAAATATATTTTTCTCAAAAATAATTTATAAATAAGGAAAAAGTAGCCGGAAACTTAGTGAGCACATGTACATTTCAAGATTCGTTTCCTATTCTATTGATTTTTTTTTGCTGAATACAAAGTTTTGTCAAAACTAAAAAAATAACAAAAAACAGTTTTCTCATTGATATATTACTTTCAAAATATAAACTATCAGAACAAAAGCATTGCAGGAAGTTCTTCAAATAATAATGAGTTTTTCTTGAGCGATTATAAGTTTGACTTGCCTTTCTGTTTGCCGGGGTTATTTTGAACGGAAGGAAGTTGTAAAATTTGGACTCCGAATTAAAAAAAATTTTTTTGCACGGATCCTATTTCGACAAATTTTGTTTGGTGCAATAGTTGCAATAAACTTTTCATTAATTATTAACCAAACTTATATAAAATTCGATGCGGTCGGCTGAATTTCAACAGATTTTTAATAATTTGAATTCCTTCTTTAATCTGAGAACTCAGGTATATCTCGTAAAATAATTGTATCCGGGGATGGTGGAAATCCTTGTAGAGCCAATTGATTGTTCATACCTTCTGTTTAGTTGAGTACCTTCATTGAAATTGAAGTTAGCCCCCGTAAATTCTGCGTTTTGCTGCAGTTATCAATTTTGATAGCCATGTACCCCACTAAAATTTTTGCTTAGTTAATCCGTTGCTAATTAAAATTGGAATGTGGAATAATTACACTAGTTCAAAAAATTTTTGTTTTCGTACAAAACTTTATGAAATTCTCATAAAATTGTAGTTTATATAATGTGAGAGAAAATCTAAAAATCAACAGACAAGTTTGTGTAGAAAATAGCATTTTTGAACGGTTTTTCGAAGCGTACGACCATTTGACGTTTTGTAAGCTCTACCTCAACAATAGTAGAAATTGTCAACAAAGGCGCTTTTAGAACAAAATATTTACGATGTCTGGCCTTAAAATGAACGCTGTCAAGTAGTGCGAAAAGAAGCGATTTAGAGAAAGGACGCAAACCGAATTGAGAAGAAAAGTTCCCCCTCCCCACTTCATTCGCATGCTACTTAATTCATTCCCTGGTGGTCGGAGCAAAAACTGATGATCTGAGCCTCGTGAAATTTATAATCAACACCTTCCTAAACGAAACTCAATCAAGACCTTAATTCAAAGTATTTAACTAAGATACTTTACACTTCACCAAACATGATATTAACATTTACGACATCTACATTTTAACACAAATAAAGGACATAATTACACCAGAGTGCATGGAAAACATTAAAAAGAGCACATGCTTAAAAATTAGGATTTATGTTACTACTCTTCGTGCAACTATCGCAATCTGTTTGCCTCGTGTAATTTGTTGCCACCGACATCGCAAAGTACCGGAGAGCTGATTTTTCAAAATTTGATATCATGGCTTGTTTTTTGGCTTTTTGTCTTTGACTCGCAGCAGTTTGTTTGCATTGTCTTTTTTCTCAGGCGGACCCTCACTCTCTTCGCGTACACTACTCACTGGTGACGAAGTTTCCGACCGCTCGGAATCTTGTTCGGAATCCCTAGTTGATTTGCTTCCATGACTATTGCCCCCCACCCTGAGGACCTTCCTCTTAGTGGCCTTGTCGTGGACCTTTTTGTTGGTTTCTAAACTCCTCAGTTCATCCGGAGGGAGGTAGGGAGGTATCTTTGTGAGGGAAAAATCCGGATATGAGTCAGGATCAATGAATCTAAAAAAAATTGGTATAATTTTGAAAAATCTTAATTTCATAATAAAATGTTTCTAAAGCGATTGAAGCGCATCCATGAATTTTTTCCGAATGGATTTTCAATTTCCTGACTTTTCTATTTCATAGAGTCCACCAAATTTTAATTCAATGATCAAAAATATCCCCCACACGCAATCGGCAGAAACTAAAGGCCTTATTTTTTCGCAAATTTTTAGCAGTTTTGGCAAACAGAACCTTGGTGCCATTTTTATGGGCCTGGTGAACAACTCTGCAGCTGGGTCAGTGCCTGTCTCCTTCATGGTCTTACGACGGGTATCAGATGCGTTGGGTGTCTGAACTGTTTTATTCTTGGCCCTCTCCAGTGACCCATACGACTGTCTGAGTTTGTTCTCTTCGTCACTCTCTGAGACTCTAGAAACATATAGACTACTAACAAAAGTACAAAGTTGATAAAATGTTACTTTGTTGTAGCTAATTCTAAGTTAAGACTATTAAAAAGAATAAGAATTAAGATGAATTAGTCGGTAAGTTAAAACATTAAAACAATGAGAGATCATTCTCTCCGCCGGAGAGAATGGCCAATGAAGGTCATAGAGGAGTGACCAGTTAATTAAAACTAAAAACGTTTTGCAACAGATGCAAAACATGATGCAATCACAACATTCCTCTGAGCAGGAAAAATTTTAATTTACACTTAATAAGTACGGAATACGAACTAACTGAGTCTGAGTCCTTTCTCCCCCTTTAAGGACGAGGGAAAGAGTTTAAAGCACCGCTAAATAGGAAACTGAAAGTAACTAAAGCGTCACTATAGTGCTAAATACTGCACCGATGTAACGGAGAAATGGTTATCCGGTATCCGACGGATAAGATCTAAGCAAAGTAAATAAAATTAAAATACGACGAAGTTATCACCGCGTTTTTAATGAAGGCAATGAATTACATCGCGTAAGATAGATGAAAATCCGATACAGGATTTATGACAGCATGGTAAGGTGGTTCAAATTACGGATAATTTATCCGAAGGAATTGATTTGTTACGAAAATTAGTGTACGCAAAAACTTCCAGTTCAATTGTAAGAAATATAGTTTAGCACCGGTTTGTGAAATAGGGTGTAATCAAGGATAAGAAAAAAAAACGGTTGGAATTATGCTTGGTGATTACAAATTTCTGTATTCGTTTAAAAAGTTTTCTAGTTCAGCGTTAAAGAGTTCACTATCAAGTTCAGAATGATCTCCGAAATTTTCTACTTCCACCCTCAGCGATTCATCGGTTGATGGGGTGGATGTTTGGTCTGGAGATGGTGAATCAGAATCTAATAAAATTAATTCCGCCGGAGCCGTGTTGTTGTCTGTCTCGTGAGTAATGGTGTCATCAATTTCTATCACCATGGGATCGGCTGCTGAACCAGAGGCTTCTTGAGAATTGTCTACGGCATCTATTAAATATCTTTGACCATAAAATTTCGGTGGGCCAACATTTCTACTAAAACGGCGGATGGTGGGGAGAACTTTACCAGGTATGTTAGAGGGATTGGGAGGTGGAGTGCACTAGTCTGCTGAATCATTTATTTCGTAAACCGGGAAATCTGTAACTGAACCCGAATCCATTGGATTACAATCGTCTTATAAATCCCGTGGTTTGATGGTGGATTCCTCCTCTCCCTGGGTTGCAGTTCTCTGTTCTGTTGCACTAGGAGCTCGATTAGCGGGAATAACGCTTATTGGGCACGCGTAAGTCTGGTCCATGGATTGCTCTCTATTCAGGTCCGTGTCGTCTTCTAAAATCTCAGATTTGATTTCAGTATTGGATACGCCGGAATTAGGGTCATTTCCATTTGGGAAATGGGTTGTGTGTGAGTCTGAAATAAAGCGCTCTCTGGCTATATCTCTACAAGGAAAACCGCCCGCTATCCATTCCCATTCCCATTCGCTAGTATCCGAAATATCCGAAGGAATTAGCATGGATTCATCCGAAGCAAGGTAACCTGGAGGGGTTGACGACTTCTTTGAGCGGCGAGTTTGTCTTCTGGTTGGTTTGTATGGTGACCCTGATACACGTGTCCTTGTCAGGTTGTCGGATGGGACCGGTTCCACTTGTCTGCGAGTTCTTTTCATCGGTTTTTTCGTTTTTGGTCTTCGTCTTGAGCCTTCCTGTTTCTGACCTACTTCAACATAGGATTAGGAAAGTACGGGAATGAAATATTACCTTTAAAAGGTCTGATTTTATTTGAGGTAGAAATAGGAATCGCAATGTCGGATTTTCGTATTATTTTTCCGTCGGATAATTCTACTGTCGAGGTAGATGAATTTATTATTCTTTTGTTTAGTTCCTTATAGAAACAGTCTCGGTTGATGTTACCGTTAGTTTTCCGACGAATTTTACCTTTGAAGGGACTTTTAATTGGTAATCTACTAGGCTTGATTTTCGAGGATGAGGCGTAGTCTGTGTCATAGCCTTTTTCGGTCGGGGTTTGTTTCTTTTTCGCTACCAAATCGTCCTTGTAACCATCCTCTAGTCTATCATCCGCGTTCCAGTCCTTTGCCCATTCTTTAGACAGTATTGATTTCCCTTTGTCTAAAATTCCAAAGGAAGGTTCACCAGAAGCTAGTTGTTTCCAAATTGTATTTGGTTTTCTGTTATAGTGGATTTCGAATGGCGAACATTTAATTTTTGATTGGTAAGTTGAACGTAAATTCCAGATAATTTTTGAAACGGCGTTTTGCAGTGTACATTTATGATGTTCTTTTAAAATAGCAAGTAATTTGATTTTCACAGTGTGTACCAATTTTTCGACTAATCCGTTGGAACGATGGTCGCCTACTGTACACAATATTATTTTAATGTTGTTAGAATCACAGAATAATTTAAAATCTTGGCTTGTAAAGCAAGTAGCGTGGTCTACCCTTATTGAATAAGGGATCCCGTGTAAGAATATATAGTCCTGTAACAATTCAATAACTGTTTTTGTAGAGGTAGAAGATGTAATTTCTGCCGACGGAAATTTAGAAAATCTGTCAATGCAAAGTAATATATATTTGTTTGACCCCCAATAGGAATCCAAAGGACCAGCAAAATCTAGGTTAAGTTCTTCGTTTGGTTCCAATAATGGAGGAAGTTCACTAATTTGTGAATTAGGGATAACAGTTTTCAGATTCTGAAACAAACACATTAATTATTTCTATTTCTAACTCCGCGTTTCTTTTTTGTTTAATTCTTAATTGTAGATTATTTAATTCACCTGTAGATAGAAAAAATTGTAGATACTGTTAATATGCTAATGTGCACTCTGAGCAATTTATTCCGTAGAATCAAGTTTGCCTGTTATTATGAGGCCACCAGATGTATTGGGCCAAATACTTCATTCCAAATTGACCCGGATGAGCTTCGTGGAGGGTCTTCAACATCGCGTTTCTTAAGGTAAAAGGTATAACGAGTTTACCGTCCATGTAGAGTAATCCGTCGGATTCATGTAGATCTCTGGTGAAGTGTTTGAAATAAGGAGAATTTGCATTAATCTTCTCCACCTTATTTTGAAGTGCTTTAACAATTGGATTCAACATGGGGTCGTCTTCTGTCAACAGGGCTACCAGCTTGGCGTTAAATAAAATATTCAAGTTCAAGGGTCGATCCGGCAACTTCAAATTTTCGCGGTATTTTTAACGAGATTAGCGTGGTCAGGTAAAAGCGGGTAATCTAAATCTACTGAAATACCGGAAGTGGTGGGATTAATTACAATATTCTTATGATTCATATTAACAGTATCTACAATTTTTTCTATCTACAGGTGAATTAAATAATATACAATTAAGAATTAAACAATAAAGAAACGCGGAGTTAGAAATAGAAATAATTAATGTGTTTGTTTTAGAACAATCCGTTGGAATGCAATTTGAGGTACAAATTCTGTTCTTTTGTGATTAAATGAACAAATTGGAAAAGTCGAGTTAAAAAGTTTTAGTACTGCTGCTATTAGGTAATTACGTAATAAAGCGTAATCGGAATTTTCCAGATTAGAACCAATAGCTGAGCAGGTAATTCTTTGTTTCTCCGACGGAATAATTGATTTGTGAATCTTTTTAATTTTGGCTACTACAAATTCCTCGTCGTAGTGAGATATTGGGAGGGCGTTTCCAGATGGGATTTTAGAAATAAGGTCAGTGAAGCCCATATCCTTTCCTGCTAGATGTTTGATTGAAAAATTGAAAGGTAATAATCTGTCTACCCATCTTGTTAATCTACTGTGATATGTTTTATTTCCGTGGTTTGGTGATAAAGCGGACAATAGAGCTTTGTGGTCAGTAATTACTTCAATTTCCGATCCGTAAAGGTAATTCTTGTAAGGTTCAACGGCCCATACGACCCCTAGTAATTCGAGCTCGTTCGTAGAATATTTTGACTCGTGAGGGTTTAAAAAGCGTGAGGCAAAAAAAATTGTTTTCCAGTCGTTCCCGTGGAGTTGTTTGAGGGAAGCTCCCAGACCATTGTGTGACGCGTCCGTTTTTACTCCAGTTTTCCGTTTTACGTCAAAATGGGTATTCTCTGTTAGGTTTACAATTTCTTTTTTAATTTTTTCGAACGCTTTTGTATGGTCATCATTCCATTCGAATATCGATTTCTTATTAAGAAGCGGACGGAGCGGGCTTCCTAAAGAGGCTAAATTTGGAACGAATTTGATGTACTGGTTTGTAGAACCAAAAAATGATCGTAGTTCTTTCAAATTGTTTGGAATAGGTAAGTCTTTTATAGCTTTCGATTTGTCGAATAAAGGTATAATTCCTGATATTGAGATTTTGAATCCCAACCATTCTATTTCTTTTTGAAAGCATTTACATTTTGACCATTTCACCGCGAAGTTATATTCGTCTAGAGTGGATAAAATTTTTAACACAATGTTCTTGTGGTCTAAAAATGTTCCTTTGGAAGCAATTAAAATGTCGTCTAGGTAACAGTTGGTAAAAGAGATAGAACCTAACGTAGAATCCATTACTCTTTGAAATTCGTTAGGCATATCGCCTAGGCCGTAAAAGCCGGTTAAAATTGGTTAGTACCCGTAATATCATCGCCCACGATACTAAAGTTGCATTGGTTACTAGTAAATTTATCTAGTGAGAGTTGGCTGTAAGCATTTTTTAAGTCTAAGTTAGTAAACCATACTTCTCCAACGGAATCATTAGCAATTTGCGCTGCGACATTGTCAACTAGTTCGTGGATGTTCGGCATTTGGTAATTGTTCTTGTAAATCTGTTTATTTATAAACTTTGAATCTAAAGCTACTTTGGTAGATTTGTCTTTTTTGCAAGTAATGACTATTGGGCTAATAAAACGGTCTTCGTCACAGTTTTCTAGTTTTTTAATATGTCCCTTGGCTTTTAGTCTATTTAGTTCTGTCTTGACAGAATCCAGTAAGTGAAGGGGAACTCGTCTTCCCTTTAGTTGGATTGATTTTAGGGGTTCGTGAAAATTAGTTATTTTCGTCTGGTTTTTAATTTTCCCAATCCGAAGGAATAAATTTTTGAATGTTTTTGATACGTTTAGATTTTCCCTATCTTTGTTTGTTTGCGAGATGGAATTTATTGAGTTACACTGCTTGTTAGTCTGGAAATGTGGGAAGTGTTTCTGAGAGACTTCTATCCCCACTTTCGGTAGGTTGTCATTTCCTAGGATATTTCTCTCGTGTCCTTCGGTCAAAAAGAAATGACAGTCGTTGTCTGACCAGCCGTTTGAAAAGATCGGGAGTTTCACCTTTCCAGAAATGTTTATGGCGTTATCTGTGGATCCACAGTAATTATCTTTGGTTGCCTTATCCACCGGATAAATTTTCAATTAAGGATCGAGTAATTTCAATTCGTGTAGTACGTTTTTCTCGAGGAAGCTCACCTGGCTAGCCGAATCCACTTGGATATTTAAAATTATTTGGTTTTCTTTTCCGAGTCCAATATTCAATAATTTCTTCAATTCTTTTCCATCTTCGCCGAAAATCGTAGTGACATTTAATACAGAGTAATCGTCGTTTTCGCTTTGTCCAGATTCCGACCATGCATTTATGACGCCACAACATTCTCTATCCATGTGGTCAGTATTTACATCCCGAATATCCGACGGATTAAAATCTGTATTATCTACAATTTGAGTATTTACAATGTTTACATTTTTACGACGAGATCTACAAAGTCTGGTAAAAGGACCTTTGAATTTACAAGAAGTACAAGTAGTGTCCTTTGCTGGGCAAACTGCTAGATGGCCTTTTGAGAATGTTCCGCCGCACTTCATATAGTTGTTACTTCTTTCGATATTGAGGGTTGGTTCTCTTTTGACGTTAAAATGGTTGTTTGATTTATGTACGGATGATCCGTTGGATTTAAATTTGCTTGTTAACTTTAGGTGGTTTTAAAATTCCCTTTTCGTCTATAAGTGCTACGTTTAGTGCTTCACGTGGGGGATGGGTTTCTGTTAACAGTTTTCTTTGGATGTCGTAGTTTTTCATGTTGTTTATGAAAATGTCTCGTATCCACTCTTCTTCTCCTGCGGTTATGTCGCACTTTTTTGCCATTTCAGCTAGGGCACCCCAAAATTGTTCGTGCGGTTCTCTGTCCCGTTGTTTTCGGTTTAACAATTTATGTCGTTCGAATGTGACATTTGTCTTTCTTACGGAAGCGATCGCTAGGGACTCCCAGAATTCTTTAAAAGAAATTTTTAAGACTTTCACCTGGTAAACTTTTGCCCGAAGATCCTTTTTCCTTCGTTTCCCAGTGCTAGATATAGGACCGAACGTAGTTTTTTATCAGCTTCTTCTAGTCGCATTCCATTGAATTTTTTTGGTTTCAGTTTTGATCGATGCTGATTTTTCTTCGTCGTATCGTCTTTGTTCCTGGGTATTTCGCTCCATTCTCGAGCGTCTTTGGGAATCTGTTTCTCCGTCCGTCGGATTTTCCAAATTTGGAGGTTGCGGGTGATGTCTCTCCGAAGGATTGAGTAAAATTTCTATGTCGATGTTCTCTTTAGCAATTATAGCTAATTGAAACAGATCACTCCAGTCTTCCCATGGAATGGGGGGTGTACCGTGTGATTTTGCCAAAATGGAGGTATTCCTCTCACGTTAGATTCGTTGGTTGACTGCGCCATGATAAAATGTTACTTTGTTGTAGCTAATTCTAAGTTAAAACCATTAAAAAGAATAAGAATTAAGATGAATTAGTCGGTAAGTTAAAACATTAAAACAATGAGAGATCAATCTCTCCGCCGGAGAGAATGGCCAATGAAGGTCATAGAGGAGTGACCAGTTAATTAAAACTAAATACGTTTTGCAACAGATGCAAAACATGATGCAATCACAACAAAAGTTGTGAGTAAAACTAGAAACAAAACACTAAAAAAACCATTCATCTGTTGCAAAAATCATGTGAAGTCAAAACAAGATGAGATCATCAGTGATTCAAGGTCATGTGAATTAAAGTTGAAGCAGCAAATATAAAAGAATTAACTAATGATTAATATAGAACGAAATCAACGTCTAGAAAGTTACTAAAATACTAGAACAAAAAAACTAATTTAAATTTGAATCGGTTCTCACGCTAAATCAGGCAACTCAACAAACAATTATGTGCCATCAAATTTTGTATCATTTTGCAATTCTTCAATTAATTTTTGCCCCCTCTGCAATAATGACTGTGGTAGAAAAACTAATCACCTGCGCTCTTCTTATCACCTGGCACTAAATAATCAAGTTTTTCCGCCAAACATATAACAATTGAAGATACTGATATAATTTAGAACAATAGAAGGATACGAACAGGTACTTTTTGAGAACAAACAAAATTAGGACGAGCGAAATTATGTTTTCTATCCAAATACTAAGCTTGTGACCAGCAATTCAAATGGAAAAAAATTGTAAGAATTTAGCAGCTCAGACTAAAGTGAGAACTAAATATCGAATTCAAATGCTCCCCTATAATTTGTCGTGATTTGTTTAATGACTTTAAAAGAAGGCAATAGCATTTGCGTCTGAACGGGCCACGAAATTTTGTAAATGTCACAAAATGAAAAAAAAATCCCGTAACGAATTGGAGCTTTAAAGCTCCAATCTGAGGCGTGGTATGGGCCTCAGAAGATTTTAGAGGTTACCTTTATGGCTCAGAATTTGAAACTTTCAGAGTCTTTAAAGCTTTCCTGATACCACTACAGCGAACAACGGAAAGAAAACGACGCAGAGTAGATTAAGCTGTTGGGTTAACCGACTTCTACCATCTATTTCTACATTGACACTCAATTGACACTTAACCCTAAAACTTTGGCTAGTTCAGGTATAGAAAGGAAAGGAAACTGTCTACCCCGGAAAAAGGTCACTGGAAACAGCTTAACGGATTATCCATTTCTCGAGCCGAAAGATCTCCATGGAAAAACCTCTTCCGGTCTCCATCCCAAAACTTTTCTTCGAAAAAAAAGAGAAACTTGATGTGTTTTTGGGCGTTTCAGGAATGATCATGGTTTCCGATGGTTTAATGAACGATTAATCTGAAGATGTATCAAATTATAACGCCCCTAATACTGACAACGCCTAACTGAACCAAATCCTAATCTTGATTTGAGCATTACAGGCTTGGACAGGATCACTCAGTACGACGCGGTCAACTCAAGCGGACTGACGGTAGCTCCAACTCAAGCATTTTAAACTAATTATGACATTGGAGGAACAGATAGTGATCCCATTCAAAACGATACTTCACTGGATGACTTCACCCCGATCACAGTTACAGCATAACCTTCCAGATCTAGAAAAACCACGGGTCCCCGAAAATCTATGGAGATCAAAGATTACTTGGCAAGGTCTCTGAGAAAGAATCTCTCGACTCGACGGGAAAGTAGCCTTCCTGAAGCAAATTGAAAAATCTAGGAGAAATGAACCAAGCAAGAAGCCTTCCAAAAAGAATTCTTTCTTTTATCGAATCCAAATCACGGTCAAAATGGGCTTTAATTTCAGGTACCTAAAATTGGTCGACAAAAACCCACCCTACGTATTGGATCAATTGCTGTTCAATTAAAAAGATATAAACAAAGCAATATTTAGCTTCTTTTATAACAAAAACCTTGATATATACAAATTTTTGCATATTTCTGCGTATTTAAATTTGGCCCATTTTATTTTCAAGTCCTTTGAACCTTTCATGATGGAATACTGAAAAATTTGATTTGTATATTTTTTTCGCCCATTTGGTCTCTGCGTATGAAGGAGTTCACTTATGATAAAGAGTTTCACCTATCAAGGAGTTTGCTTGGTTTTTCACTTTTTACGAATGTCCATTTCATTTGTCCGTCTGAATTCACTATTTTTGTCGTTCGGTTTGAAGTCACTTTGGCACCCAATTTCCACCACATGTAGATTATACAATATTTGAGTTAGTTTTAATAACAAAATCATTCGAAATGAGAACAGATATCTCCCCTCAACCTTTTGAATTTGATAAGATCTCAACATATATGGCTTAATTATAATCTTATCGTAGTTGAAGGTGGCGCTTTTGATAAAACGTTCTCCAAAGTATACGAAGTTTTAAAATCAGTTCAAAATAAAATGTCGAAGTATTACGCCAAAACGTACAAACAGGACTTCACTGCTGTCTTCAATCACAAAGACTGCACCAGATATTACCACGAGGTCAGTCAATATATTGAAGCAAATCAGCGGGAGCGACTTCACTTTTCTAGAATTCAACATCCACAATTTTTTCATAATCAAAAAAAGAATTGTAAAAACATTTCAATTAATAGAAAATATTGAGTGAGGTCGGGTTGTATTCCTCGTAGAGTAATTTCGGATAATAGTACAACCTTCTGTTCGTCACGTTATCAGTCTTCGTTCGGACAGATTTGTGCAACTTCCTAGTCTAACACTAAAAATTTTTCCTATTGCCGTTATTTTAGGTAATCTCAAAGATTTGGAGAAACATTGGTAAGATCGAGATTAGGATGATATCACTAATTTACTTCAATCTGTATTAACAGTGGTCGGATCAGTTAAGCTGATCACAATAAAATCTTTCTATTTGAGGTTTCAAAATTGATCATTTTTGATAAGTTTTAAATACTTAACATTCTAATAAGTCACAACACTAACTTAAAAAGTTTAGCATTTTTGAACGGGGTTCCAGCTTTTTTAAAAATAAAACTTGAACTTGGTGGAGATGCTCACTCTATCTATCGGCGATCAAAAACGGGCAAAATGTCATTTCTCAGTTTAAAACATACTAGATACAGGGATAGGGTCGAGCACTTAAAATTATCGAAACTCGGCCTAGCACGGTCGAAACATAACTCGAGCACAGTCGAAAGAGACTCAACTTCATTGAGCAGGCTATAAATATACTTCGAGCACGGGGTGAAACTAGCAAATATGGAGGAACACAATCCAATTTTATAGAGAAATTGTTTCCCTTACTGTTTTTATCACCTAGTTTTTTTTGCATTTAACTTTAAAGGAAAATTAGTACTGAATACTCAAAAAAGACATCTAGCTAAAAGTTTTTCTCAGGTGATACTTAGCAGAAGTAACAAGTAACACCAGCTACCATACAAAGCAGCCAAAATATTGAACAGATACACCGTTATATCTCAACAAACATTTAAAAAAATATGAAAATTGAGCGAACTTCGAAACAAATTACATAACTTTTGGTTGATTCATATACCCATGATACTTTTAAATTAACTCAAACGTCGGTCGGCTGGCTTATTAAAGTTCCTTTTTAGCTTATGAAAGAACTCGATTTGGTTGAACGAAGTGAGATAGTGGCCAAATACAGTGAGAGATGTCTGCTTCCTATTTTTAAACAATGGGCCCTTGAATTGAACAAACCTCTCAAGTTCGTTGATATGATGTGTGCCTATGGGAATGATACATTGGTGTACACCAACGCCTACTACCAAGAGGTTGGTTTTTCAAACAAAACTTAAGCTCGGTAAATCTTGGAACAAGAAATATACTAATGGCTACGAACTGAGTTAAGAGGCTCTTAATAGTTCGACAGGTATTGGTCTTCCTAAACATCTTGAGATCATAACAAAATTACAGAAACTATTGCAATTCTATACAAAAAAAAATATCTTTTTCTGGTTCGAATATATGATCAGAAAAGAAATTATACAAAAGTTGATTAATTTCAAGAGGCGAGCAGCAACAAATTTTTTTTGGCAGATTGAGATCTTTCTGGAGCTTCAGAAGAAAACTAAAACTCAAAATGCGTGGTTTAACAAAAATAGTGCGTTTTTTAAATGAATCACCTGTTTTTTGAGCCACTGTAAAATGTCATCATTTAAGATTTCAATTTTTCAGGACTTTGCAAAAACATGGGCTTCTGATTCGACTTGCTACCAACTTGCGAAGCCAAGACAACTTCCAGTTGAAACTCTTGGCGTGGACAAGAGTGAATCGGCACTTCAGTTTGGGAAGAAGGCTGGCATATTTGACAAAACTCAAGCACTCGATATGAACAATCTTTCGGAGTCTGAAGCTCAAAGTTTGAAAGAGCAATGTCACAGTGCAAATACTCTAACGATGAACTCACTTGGATACATTCAGGAGGATCAAATTAACAAAGTGATCTTAGATTACAATAGAAATAAGAACGGTTGATAAAATAGGGGGCTAATAAAAGCGATGTGGAAAAAGGGGCGGCAAAATGAGTGGAAACCAAAAAACCTGCGCAGTGCGCTGGACAACTGTTCGAATTCTGAAAACTATCTTCTTAGTGGTGGACTGGGGGCAATGTGAACTGGTTTGTTTGGCAGGGGAAAATGCGATTCGATCTAATAATTGTCACACCACGATTTGATGCTTTAAACGACTGCTTTAGAGCAAACGCATTGATATCGACTATTTGAAACGAAAGTGTTTTTGAAGAATAATGTAGCATGAGAAGCTTCTGTGCATGTCGTTATACGGAAGCCAAAAATTTAAATGTTTTTGCCAGGTAAGAAGTACTTCTTTTGTAATCTAACGTTACTATAAGGTGATAGACTGGTTCAGTGGTGGACTCGAGCCAGGTATGATTGCAATCGGGTTTGTATATCCCTACGATGGACCAGAAAGAGTTAGCCGGTTCAAACAACTGTTGCTGGAAAAACTGAAGTTCTTTGCTTCTGTTCCGATGACTAATATTAAACTGATTGAAAGAGAAGGCGCTAAATATGGACCGGAATTCGGAACTTGGAAAACATGCTACTACGAAATGTGGTATTTGACGAGAATCGCTTAAGAGTGACCGATTGGCTCGAAAAATTGCACAATAAATAGAACCCAAAATAACACATATTCATTTAATTTTACCAATAAAAAAACTTCATTGAGTAATCTGTAATCATAAAGATTTTAAGGTAACTGATGTCTGAAAATCAGTGAAGTGGAAAGAGCTTCCCGAGAACTTTCTCAAAAAACGTTCGTTTTATGTGTTTTTTCAAAGTTTTTTTTATCAAAAGACACTTGAATCCCTGAGGAGGGGGGGGGGGGGGGGGTGGGGAAAGCGTCCGAACCCCCCCCTCCCGCACCGCCCCGCCCCCCTAAATCCGCTACTGATTACGACCCCCTGCCGACCCAAAGGATCCCCCTTAACACTATTTTGAGATATCCATTTTTGGCTGACTGACCCTAAAATTTTTCTAAAGGCGCCAATATATACTAATTTTGAGGGGGGAGCCAATATATACTAATTTTGAGTGGGATTTTTGGTCAATATTTTCCAAAAAGTGCCTGTCTTGGCCTGTTTTTTGAAAAATTGGCCTGTGCAGAAAATTTGGTCAAAATGGGGTCTTTATAGTGATTTAGGAGAGGTCAGAAAATCAATTTGGTCGACCTAAAAAAAAGGTCGAAGAAAAAAGGTCCATCCACACATCTTCAGAGATGAGTTCTGCCAATAGCGTTTTGTCAAATAATTTAGACAAACTGAAGTTCCCAACATTGCTCATGTCTGATAATGAGTCGTCCATCCTCCATCCTAAATGTCTAACCAAACCAAAAATATAATGTCTTTACTTACCACGAAGCGTATATTAAAAATAGACTCAGCCTTGCCAAACTAGTCGAATAATTCACACTAGGCATCAGTCAGAAAAGTAATGACTAGATGCTTTAAAAAATTAAGAACAGGGTCAAATTAAGTTACTAATTTTAACATCCAATTTTGGTTTCGAAATTTTGTAGTTCATAGGAGAGACTATCTGAGCCAATCAGATCGTTTGCAACACTTTATTGTAATTCAAAACTATTCCAAGAAAATTATGGATTTCAAAAAATCTCGTCTCACTAATAATCAGTACGAACTGTACAGTTTTTTCAACAAATTGTAATTCACTAAAATTTAGTTTTGTTTTTTTATTTGTTCTAATATATTTTGCCAAAATAATTTCAAAAAGTTGCGGTTTGTAGCAGAAATATATATTCAAAAGGAAACACACGGTAAACATTATGCAGAGTATGGCCATAGGATTTTCATGTTCAGACTCTTATCCGGACTCGGAGTCCTTATCTAACGGGTAAAAAAGACATTATTTATATTGACCTTGATAATCCGTGCGCAGCATATTCAATGCAGAAAAAACCCGAGATTGTCACTTTTTGTTCCGACCATTTGAAATATGTGGAGGAATTTTTTTTTCAGGTATAGTTTGTTTTAGTTCTTTATAACTTTTGGTCTCGATCTTTGAAAATGGGGAAGAAGTTTGATTCGCGTGTTTTAGTTTTTTTTCAATTTTTTCTTTTTGTTTTCCACACCAAATCAGGTACCACAAATCATCATCGGACTGGGTTGAGTGCTATATCATACTAAAGCCAGCTCAGTCGTGATGCGAACGACATTACAAAATTTCTAGAAACTTTCCACAGTGTCGATAAAAACCGGGTTGAAAATTTAGACTCATCTTGAATCTCGAATTTAGACTCATCTCAAAAAAACGGTAGTATAATCTGATATAAATTTTCTTCGTCGTTTTTTTAAGTCATTTTTTTTCGAAAAAATTGTTTCCAATTGGCCTTTTTTGCTGTGACTGTCAAATATGTCTATAGTCCAATTTTTGTTGAGCTAAATTTATCACAGCGCGCAGAAAACAAAACGACACTTAATCAATAAAAAAAAAATTTTTTTCGTATTTTCAAGACTATGGTCGGAACATCCGCTGTGCTACAGCAACCGGCTATAATTGTTAAGTATTTTGTTGCTGAGCAAATAGTAAATTAGGGAATAATGCATATAACACAAGTTTGAACTATAGTTTGGCAGTAAAAAATAGAGACAACGGCCGTGCGGATTACGCTACCGACCGGAACTACAAACTGACCATTCGTAACCGGGTTCGAACCACCCCACCAAAACTTTTTTGCTTATTTAGTAAAATTTAACAATTTAGTTCATAAAACGACCTTGGCCGACCTTGATTCACATGTTTTTGAATGTCAATAAAGCCGGGTTTTGCCGAAGTATGAACGCACTCTCACGCTTGATATCGGTGCTGTTCAAAGTCGTCTGCTTAACGAAATTGTTTGTGTTTTGAGCCGATAAAGACCAAAAGCTCCTAATATTCAAAATCAAGCTTTGGACGACAGCTTTTTATTTGCATATTTTGGTGCCTCGACCCGTGAACTCGCTGCCGAGTGGATCAAAGGCTTTTTTGCGAATTCTTTCGGTAGTCACGAGTCAACAGTTGTCGGCTGTTTCTTCGCCAACTTGATATCTCCCGACTGTAATACAGTATCCAGAGATGACGCCGTCCACTTTTGGACCTGTTCCAAAAGTCTAAACGATTTCGAAATTTACGAGGGAGAAGCTCATTTACATGCTACTGATGTTCTAGAAGACGAGCGAGATGCGAAAACTCAAAACAAAAATAACGAAGTTTAAGCTATGTATCCTAATTTAGACGTCAAATATACGCGTGCTCTTGAAGCAAAAGAGCCACACCAGAAGGCAACTGTGTGGTTTACAGAGGGTGCTGTCTGACAGACTCCTGACTAAGTGACTATTTACGGTGGATATAAAAAACTACAGAAAACTGTAAGACAAGCCAAGCGCCTCCCTCCTCGGTTTGATTTGCCCATCATTTATCCATGTGCTATAAATTTTGATGTCACATAATTATACATTTACCAAAGTGCTCATAATGACAAAACACGTTTTCATGTACTAGAAACTTTTTTCGGTAAAACACATTTGTTTAAAAAAAAAAAACAAGAGACCCAGCTTTTTGCAAATTGTTGGGTCAAACGTTTGTACCCTAGTATGAAAGCGAATGTTATAGTTTGTTTGTGAAATTTTGGGCCAAGATTTTGAACCCGGTTTGCTCAAACCCGGTAAACATCCCTTCATCAAAAAACTGCAAAAAACTGAAAACAAAGTCAAAAAAGAACTTTCTATCGAAACTTAACACCCTCGACGATAACGCTTGAAGATTTCAATTTCATTTATATAAATTCAAAAAAAAAAATTCAGTCAGTTAAATTATTTTGAGCTCCGGCGACTTCAGCTTTACTCTGAGTCGATGAAGGGACTTTGAGCTAATTTATGAGACACCCCTTAATCTACCCAAAACATTTTTTTTAAGTCAATAAGTCCGCCGCGTCCGTTTTTTTTTCGTATAAAAACTAAACTATTTATGATTTTTTGTTGTCGGTGAAAGCTCGTTGCATCACGCTCTAGAACAGCTACCAGCGTCACTACGCAATCAACTTATTGATACTTACTTAGCCATACCCGGCCTAAGTTTTAACCCTAACGCCGTTAACCCCCGTAAAACTGTACAACACTACTTTGAGTCATTTTTATACCATCAATTAATATCGTGATTTGGCACGACGTCATAAATAACTCAGTTAGTAGGCATCGCAGTAATAACTTCAACCGTTTGTCCGAAGATAGACTTGTAGCCATCCTTAAACGCTATAATGCGAAAACAAGTGCCATCGCGTACTGTCAACGCACCGAAATTGAGGAAATATTTGAGAAATTTAAAGAGTCAGGTATTCTTACCATCAGCATAATTGATGATTTGACATCGAAACGTAAAGCTAAAGATAAGCGTTTGCGCAAACAGTACTTGACATTACAGCAGCACGATACATTAGAAATCAAAACTTTCCGGATTATTAGCAGATATGGAAAAACTTAAAAAACTTGTTGCTAAGACTAAGAGGAAAAACAGATTGAATAAGATGCAACGGGCTGACTTTAAGCATCGCACTCTCATCTTAGTCAAATTACAGGAGCACCTAGCCGAGGTATTTAGGTCTTTAGCTCAGTAGCTAGGTCTTGTAGTGGTTGTTTAAATTGTTGCACTTATTTTAAGGCTTTAAATTAGTTTTTTTTTAAGTTAAGGTTTGATACGTCCTTCTCTTTGTTGTAAAAGCAAAGCACAACGGAAAAGTTTGTCACAATGAATCAGGAATAAGGCCTGAAAATGCAAACGCTTCTTGAGTCTCTGCGTAATTCGGAATTTGAGCTCCTCAATTTTCATTATAACATTCAAGAAGCCATAGAGAACAAAAAAGGAAGGCTGATTGTTGAGAATTATATCAAAAATGATGAGATAAGTCGATTGGCGTAAAAGGCTACTAAAAGAGAAAAAAACTTGCGACAAATTAGAACAGTGGCTTGACCTAGTGATAAAAAGACAAGATGAGGTCATTCGGAAAACTAAGAACTATGTAGGATCTGAAGAACAAGTTATGTCCATTTCATCGCGTTCGGGGGAAGTGGCTTCCTCGAAGGGTTCCGAAAAACCTCGACGAAGTTCATATCGGTCTAAGGTCTCAGGTCAGGGTAAAACTACCTCAATGACTTCCAGTGACGTAAAAAAGATTTGTTGTAGGCTAAATCAGGAACAGAAGAGATCGAGAGAGTAAACGAAGCATCAATGCGCTCACTAGAAAAATAGCAAAGGTTGGAAGAAGTACAAATCCGCGAGGAGAATAGAAAATTGTATGTTGAAGCCAAAATAGCTGAAGCTGAATTCGAGAAAGACTCCGACTATGTTGACCTGTTTGCTAGCTTGGTAAGCTCTCACAGGGAACCAGTAGATGAACGCAAAGAAATTTGGGTGGATAATATGACAAAATTTGTAACCGTAACCAAAGCGACCGCATCCACTTCTGTGGATTGAATACGGCTTTCTATAACGCCCCGGAGGATGTCGTTCCTGTCGGTAACGCCAAGTTAGGTGGCTTGTCCTCTACGATGATGTATGGGGCTGACTCCCCTCACATGATTCCTAAATATCCTACGCAGATTGCTGCCGGCACTAATACGCAGCAAAAAAAGTTGGCGAATATGGGTCGAACTTAAATCAAAATGTAACACAACCACACCGGTTTTCAGATGTAAATCAGTGGGTTAATACTGAGCCTACCACGTCTGCTAGTTTTGAAAATGTTTTATCACCTTCGTA